ACGTGCAACTCCAGAGAAGCACGTCAGGTCAATTTAGCAGGACTGTTAACAAAAGTTTGTTTTAGTTGCTCAACGACTTCGTTAGATGTGCTTGGACGACCTCGTGATTTCTTATGTCTTACAAAGTTTCTATAAAACATTTATGCCACTCATGAATTCAAGCCCTACTAGGAGGATCTTTAGTGTATTTGATACGAAAAATTGTTGTTGCCGCCTTTGATTCTTCACACCAAAACACACAGCTAGTATGCTCTGGTCTAGTGAAAGCAGCCATCTTTAACGCAACTACCGCTACGGTACGTTATGGTACGATTAGGTACTAACGAACCACGTGCGTCAAAAGTTTACGTGTTTCCTTACAAATTGCAACTTCTGTCAGCTTTGTAGGTTCTCTGAATAAGTTTATATGACTTTTCAAGATTGTAAAGTCCTTTTTGGATCATTCTGTATAATTTAATCTTTTTATCAAATAAATTCCTATTGTTTAAAGGTAACTTGTACTTTGAAAATTTCTTTAAATATTTGTGAATAACTAAGGAAAAAAAGGTCTGGAGTTTTGGGCTAAATGACTTTTGTTTTATTTAAACATTCTTTTCTGTAGGGAAATTTCGGTAAAAAACTGGGGATTAAAAAAAACCATCTGACAACATTGACTTTTACTGACTTTTGTTTTCTGCTAAATTTAAAAATACGATCACCATAATTTGCATTCCAATTTTTACTTGATAATTTACTAACTTTTGTCTGCCCCAAGTATCGCTTGTTTTTTTATTTGTAGTTGTATAAAGAATTTGTCTTAATTTGACAAAATTAGGGAGGAAGTGGTTGTGTCACCATTACACCCTTATCTCTATAATAACGAGCCGCTGCTGAGACTAATTTTGTTTATCGAACCGACATAACGATTTCTGTATGCATAAAATGCATATGCAAAGGAGTCATTGCAATTTCTCTTATTATCCTTGATCTACAAACGACTTGTATGCATCGAAAGTATGATGCATCTTACAATACCTAAGTAAGTAAATAAAATAGTAATAGTGCTCCTTGTTTCAAATAAATGTCAAGGCAGTTAATGTGTATAAATTTACAAAGTTCTTGAAATTTTCTTTCCTTAGCCTCCTTATTTACGAAATAACAAATTTTTCAATGAAAATGAGTTTCCTTGGACAACAGCTTTACAATACGATAACAATCTGTTTAATATTACTTGACCATTATCAATAATAGCTTGAGCATACATTGACTGTCAGTTTTTAAAGGAATAATTTAATTCTCTTTACAAATTATTTCTATATTACGAGATGTGCTTATTAGTTTTGAAAATTTGTCAATAAAAACCAAACAAATCAAGTTTTGTACTAAATATTATCGATCCTCACAATAGTCTCCGCTTAACCTACACAACGATTCCAACGTTGCTGCCACGATTCAAATCACTCTTGGTAATCCTTTAAATTTAACCCGTCCAGCACTACGGTTATAGCTTTTTTGAGCTCCTCTATACAACATCATGAGCTCCTTTTTTTTTGCAACTCTTACCGCGTAAAATTCGGAAAAGATTGTTATAGATGTATGTCTAGGGAGTGTAAAACATGGACGGCAAAAAAGAAAAGGGCGCGGAGGAAAAGAAAGTGTTCGAAATGTGGTGTTACCGGCGAATGTTGAGGATACTGTGGACAGAGAAGGTTAGATATGAGGAGATACTAGAAAAAATTGGAGGACAGAGGTGGCGTGTTAGGTAGGATACCTTCTCAGGCATGAGGGGCAAGTTAGAGACAATATTAGAAGTAGAAACCGGAGTTGATGAGTAGAGATAGATCTAGATTAGTTAAGGATGTAGGGAAATGCGAAGATTAGCTCAGGACTGACGACCTTATGATGATGATGATCTCGAGATGATTTCAATTCGCTCTATTTTCGAAAACAATTGCCTACATTTTGGATTACGCTATAAAAAACGATTTTTCATCATATCCCTACAAAAAGTGTGTAATTTTTCCCTGATTTCGGTGACGCAAACGCAACATTCCCTTTCATGTTAGAAAACGCATTTACTTCTTTTTAGGAAAGGATTTTACCATCAACTGCGTAGGTTTCACCTTAACTTACGGCTGGGATGGCAATTCACACCCAGGAGGGAATGCCATCCTTTTTCCCTTGATGCGTACAATACTATTGCAGATATTGACCCCTAAAAATATTACCAAAATGGAGAAAATAAATCCGCTCAGTTAATATCCAAGATAATGACCTCAAATTAGCCGAGCGTCCTAAAAATAGTAAGCATTCATCCCGGAAATGATTCAGCTGCTAAAATATGTAAAGCTGCTAACGAGTATAGACCGGCTAGTTTCAGAAAAGTTCTGACCTTCATCTAAAATCTACGCTGAAATTAAGAGAGACTGATATGGATATTCGCACTTAATTTAAGCCCTACGTCAGGTAAGCCCTTCTGCCATACATTTGGCATGGTAACAATACCTTTGACAATGATTTACGTAACGTGAGACCTTCATTATGTATCTCCACCCATGGGCCTTCTAAGGAGGAATCAGTTATGTTAATGGGCCCTGTCTCAAACGAGTAAAGTCCTTATTATTTTTGAGTTTATTATTAATGTCTAGGAATTAATACCAAGAATAAAAATGAGTGAGAGACATTTCTATCTATCTTAAGAAACCACAAATTGCAATCCCTTTATTGTTAGTAACACCTCTCCCTTTTGCCTTTTTGAACCATAATAATTTTAATAATCCATTAAACGTGTTTAGAAATAGGTTCCGTATAAACAAATAGATCAAGACTCACCTGTTCACTGTAAAAATCACTCCTATTCCTACCGGCGTAGTCGAATTCCCTACTACCCTGCCTACCCCTGTCTTTAAAGCCGGTCCCATCTTTGTCCGGCCCCTTCACTTGAATCACGATTCGATGTTCACTTTCACTGTTACCCCCACTGTTGGTGCGATGCCTGCTATGACGAGGTTCCGACACAAGTAGCGTACTATCACTGTCACTATGATCACTGATCTCCATAACACAGTCGCGGATACCTATGCTGGTATCGTCGTGGTAGTCGGGACTGGAGATGTTCGAAATGGCTTCGGAGATGCTGAAATCTCCATTAGTCCTTTGATATTGTCCGGTACCACTGTCAGGATGGGGACCGTTGGTCAAAGTGTAAGGCAGACGACAGGAACCGGATCTACTCGACATTACAGACGAGGAAACGGAAGTAGGAGAAGGAGGTGAGCCAGAACGAAGAGGACTTGGCGAAGAAGGCGAGGAAATACTGTGTGAGGAATTGCTACCATTCGATAACGTGTGACAGCACGTTTTGTGGTAGTGATGGTCCATGGAAGTGGCTGTAACTGGCGCGTTGTATGTCCAAACGATTCGATCCGTTTTCGTTGAAGAACACACATTATTGGAAGAGTTACTGTTCGAACTGGCTTCGGATCTGGTGTCCAGGAGCGTGTTGAGGGAACTGGTCACGTCATCTTCGAAGTCTATGTCGACAGCGTTCACGTTCGAGTCTTTTTGCACTTGCAACTGATCTTCTGATCGGCTGGTGCGTACGAACGTGTTCGAATTGAAACCTAACATGTTGGAGGTCTTTGCCGTGGGATCGCCGTCCGCCGAAGAGTTCGAATCACGTTTGTTGGCACTGACGGGGGAGGTGTTGGCGGAATTTGAAGTTGAATTGCAATGATGCGACCTGTGACCCAGGTCCGATTCATTGGGACTGTTTGGTACCGAGTTGTGCTGCTGTTGCGGCTGCTGCTGGTGGCGTATATGATGACCGTGGGAATTACGATACCTGGAATTATTAAAAAAATCGTCAGATTCTGAGGAAAAAAAAAGGGAAGAAAATGGAAACAAAATCGTTCGAACTGTCGACGGTACTAACACAATGGTGTCTTTGGGTCGACAGGTACAAATGCCAAATGCCATGAAAGTTCTTACAACTGTAAACCCTATGAGGGGGAGGGGGGAATTAAATTTTATAAGGTATTCGTGAATTGTGGAGATTTCAAATAACATTAACACCTATTAGAAGTACCATTATCCCAGAAGATCGAAACTCTGAGAAGAAAAGTGAGAAAGAATCCTAAAACAGTAGGTCACAATGCAACGACAGAAAAAAGGGTAGTGTTGTAATTTCTCCTATTATAGCCTTTATCTAAGGATCTCTTTTCTGTTTTCCGTTATTTTGACATGCTGGATCTACAATTCCATTGGAAGTCCAAATTACAAGAAGGTATCCTAAATATTTCTGCCATCAAATGTGACCAAAAATAGAACCAATCAGTTATAAAATAGTGAAGACATAAAAAATGTGATATTTTAATAATATTTCAACCTTCTTTCCTAAATGTGTAGATAAATACCTNATCTCTCTATGAGCGACTCGAGTCTCTCGTTCAGAGACGCTAAACAGTTTTTTTGACAGTCTCTCGACAGTCTCTCTCAGCGACACCAGATGAGAGACGGAGACTCGAGTCTCGCTTTCAGAGAGTTTGAGAGACTGAAAATTTTTATCTCGGGAAAACATCTGTTTAAATCGTTTTTTGTTAAATGTCGAACTTTTCGATTATTCGACATCGACAATGCGTCTTTTCTTACATTCAGTTCTTCTTTTCCTAATACATCGAAGACAAAACTTCTTTTTGATGTAATTATATAAGTAGAGAGACGAATTGAACAGTTCCCTATACCGATCTTCTTATTTTTCATGAACCGATGCCAAAATAATCATCGTCGTATTCGGTTTCTGAGGATTTTGCTCGAAATTTACTTCGACATGTGCCTGAATTTGGCATTCTAACATATAGATATTACCGACAACTGTAGGTAGATATTTATTTTACTTTAATCGCGATTTTCCTGTGGTAGTTTCAATAAACTGTTAAACACTAATTTAATGTATGTATTTGATTATTTTTACGTTTATTTGACGTTTCGATAAATGTTTAATTAAAAGAATTGAAACCCACTTTTTACTAAGGTGTCTTGATACATCCGACTTTTTGAATCCATCAAGACAATATAATCTCTTGGCAAGGCGAATGGCTGACGGCAAATCAACAGCTTTCGGAGAATAGTGAAAACTATGAAGGCTTTCGATATCACTGTCGTCCTCCGAAGATGGGGGTGAAGAAGTATTTCTTCCCGATTCTCTAAGCGTTCCACCATCTTCCCCTGAGTCTTCATTCCTACTTGATTCTTGGTCGTTCAAATCCCTAGATGCCTAATTAAGAGGTCATTAATAGACAGATTGCTTACCTTATCGCAAATCATGAATAAAACATTGTTCTTACAATCAGTTAGTCTATAATAAAGTTGATGTAGGGCAAACGGGACGCAATTTTTAGATTAAACTTACAGAACACAAAATAATAATAAGAATAATAAAAGAACCTTCTGTTGGACTATCACAACATTGTATCGTGATGAATCATGCAATTGATAGTGAAAGTATTTCTATTTTCCGTTCAGAAAATAAAGAAATGAAACGTAAATTTTTAGAAAAACTTGAAATACAAAAGGCAATTTGTCTAAATTTGAGAAAACAGTATGTAAAAGGTCTCTATTATCTATACATTTAAAGTAATAAATGACATTTCTAATAAGACGAAAGGTCTGTTCTACTTTTGTACGTAAATATAAATAAAAGTCTTAGTTTATCTTTAAACAGAGCAAAGTAGTTTTTAGAGGTTTAGACTAGAAATGGGACAGGTAACCGGTTTGAATCCGGTACGTGTCAGATCCGACAAGCTTTTTAGGAACCGGCCGGGTTCCAAATAATGACACTAGTATATTATACCAGAAAAAAAAAAGGAGAAAACAAACATTAGCAATAATAATTTAACAAGTATACCAAAAAAACTACCTAGTGAAAATTAGTAATTAAGTTTGTTTTGGGATAGATCATTTGTTCTAATTTGTATTATTATTGATTATTAAACTAAATTGCTTGTTATTTCGATATAATTCTTATGTGTATTTTTTCTCGTAAACACAAATACATCAATATGGCCGAACTGTTACAATTTCTGTTGTTTATTGGTATATCAGGTTTTGATTGCCGATCACTTATTAGTACGATTTTGTCACATTACAAACTTTTAGTGTTCATAAAGATTATAATCTCGTTTCAACGGTTTCAACTCAATCATCTAGTTGAAAATCCGCCAACCAAGAATTAAACTTTCATTGGTTTAGTGTTTAAACGACTTTTCGAACTGGATTTAATGTGGTTTTAATGGAAAGACCCCTAGAACTAAGACATGAACCATTAACTATGGTGATTTTGCCGGGAACCCGGTTTTCCGGGGACAAGCTTTAGCAGCTGGTGAAATAAAGCATGAAACACCCAAAACATTTTTATCTTTAAGTTAGTTACTGTAAAGCTCTCTGAGGATAATCAAAATGATGGAAACGTATTGTAGCGAACAGGGGTCTGTTTGTGTGCGATCGGGCACACGTGTGCGTGAACGGCTTATCGATTCGCCGTGAGCGCCTTTCTTCATGTGCGCCGTATTTGTAAATGTGTGTGTCGTACCTGCGTTCTGGGAAAGCAGTTAAACAGTTCAAAGAAAAAGTAAACTATCCGGATGTTTCCAGAAGGTCCCACAAAGTAAACAAAAGAATATTTAAAGGAAGAGACGATCGCCAAGTGGAGTAGAAATAAATTGACCGTTGCAGAAGTGAATCCAGAAATAAGTTGACAGTGATAGCAGTGAAATAAATAGCGCAGTGAATAGTGATAAATCAACAATAGTGTAAATAAATAGAGTAATTCATAACCTAATTTTAGTAATAATTTAATAGTGTTTTTAAGTTCTTTAATAATTAGTGTAAATAAATAGTTTTTGTCGTTATCAGTCTTAGAAGTTAATTTTGTTAAACCTACGAACATTACAATACGATCGGCGTATGATACTGATTGAGACTTAACGCCCACTGGTAGGACCCTGATTCACATGTGACGAAGGATTCTCGGATTGGCTTCTATGAAGTACCATTCAACAAGAGTTTATGTCAGGTTATGGTGAAAAAGGTTTCCCTAATTGGCATATTTAAAGGGATAAGCTTCATGCTCCAAGAGCTTATGTTTGTTTGCCGTGTTTCCACGAGCAGTATTTTCTCAGAATGTTTTTGGATAAATGAC